TTCTTTTGTTAACTTTGCGTAACGTCTTATTAATAAAAGGGAGGGGTTCACTATGATGAGCATCTTGATCAGTTTGATATCCTTCGATTTAGTCGATCTCCGATATTCTGAGTGAACTTGGGATTTTCAGTTAGATTCAATCTAGTCTCCCGCCTCTCTTTATCCTCAAGTTTTCAAAATAACCGGATCATCGTCTTCCCAAATATTTTCTGTCCCGTTAAACGGTGACTTTGGTTCTCGCTCGCTCGCGAAACACGTAGGAACACTTTTATCACTCGTCGTGTCGCCGTGCCTGAGCGCGCGAAATCTCAGACCTGTCATTTGTGAAATGTAATCGCTTATTATTTAAAAACTATCATAGCCTCGACAGTTTTTTATTAGAATTTTCCTCTTGAAATTTTCTAAGGAATCTGCGATTAAAAGGATATCCGGTGGTTTTAGTACACCCAGTATAGCATTTTATAAACGTACATGTATTATTGTTACGTCGTACTATTTTTCCTTTATTTTATAGCGTTTGAACGTATTAATTTTTTCCTAAACAAATTGCACCTATCTAATAACTATTTAATTAAGCAATGTAGAATTAAATATATTACGTCAATTATTACGCACGCATTCACGTGTGTATAATCGAGCAAAATGTTTTTATTCTTTTAAATTGCACACTGCGCGACACAATGGAAAAGGAAATTGAAAAACAGGAAATGATTTTCAATCCCATTTTCGATCCGTTTCCTCCTTTCTGCATTCCGTTGCGATTGATGGGCACGGGAATCATTGTTGCGCGAAACGATCGACGCTGCGAATCGCACGATGTTTGTCCCAAATGTGTCAAACGGGCACTCGGCTACTACGGTTAAATTTGAGTTGCATAATCGTCGTGGTCAGATGTCGAAGCTGTAAGTATGATTGTGGTGAACCGAGGTTTCTGATGCTCCGCAACCGGGAAGGAAGTAATTTTGCGCGAAAAAATGAAAGTCAAAGAGAACGAAACCTCTCGATATTCCGAGATTTGATTCTCGAGAAAATCGGTATTAAGAATTCACCAAATTCCCGTATTTATTCGCGGGACGCGACAGAATTAGTATAAGATGGATTTAAGAAAAAAAAAAGTTTGCAGCATCGATAAATAAATTTACGCGACTCGTTACGGTCATTTCAATTCCAGATTTTACATCAGGAAGTAAACAACGATACTTTACGTAACGTCTATTTGAGAGGCAGATTTAGTTCCACTACAACACTCAGTTAATATTATAGTCGGTGCTATCGAAGTCATAACTTACGTACGAATTGATCCCGTCCGACTATCGAAATATCATGTTGAGAAAGATAATAATTAGGCGACGGTTTACTTCCTGGTTCGTGCATAAATTGACACCGATTTAATTTAGCACGTACTGAATTACAATAAATTTCGGATTTACATTTTCCATTCGGTGCAGATTGTTGCAGTGAAATTGTTTGCGAGATGTACAGGTGTTATTTTATTTCTCAATAATTAATCATTTGCGTTAATTATTCACCGTCACATTTTCTTGAGCTCTTTAATCTGCAAGAATTGTACAAAGAAAAATATTATCTAAATTGAAATTATTATAAAAATCTCGTTATGACTGAAAATTATATCTTCGTTGCGGTATTTGAAGACTATTACATTACATACAAATTAACAGATATTAGTGTGCTGGCAAAGATGACCGCAAGAAGATGAATGAAAGAAAAATATTGAAATTTATTCTGACTTTTTATTTGTGATAAATTTCAATATTTTTCTTTTATTCTTCTTTTCATCGTCGTTTTTATATTTCCTCGTGTATTTCTGTGCATTTTTCCGTAAATTTCCAGCTCGTTTCTCTCTCTAAAATATTATTTTTCCATAATGCGCGTTATTAGCGAACGTGTACGCCGGCGCATTATACGCTCAAGATGACGAAACGCAGATTTATCAGCGCTACTTCGTACAACTTCTGGTTGCCACGAATTGTGCCGGCGTTACAGAAAACATACGCCGGTGTTATCGAGTCTACGTGTGAAATATTTTTATGTGAGAAACCGCAGAATCTTCCTATCAGTTCTGCCATTGCGTAATTAATGCCGTACAAGCCGCCGGTGGATCCTCTCTCTCGGTGTGGGACAATACCGTTAAAAGAATGCGAGACGAATGTATGAGAAATCCGATGAATTCATCGGCGTCCGTGTGGAAATCGGTTTTTATTCCTACGGAGTGATGAAGCGTTAAATTTCTTAATTGATTAGAGCCACTTGCGTCATAATTATCATAATTATCATCACACCGGGGTGCTTTCGCGCATCCTTAAAAAGTTACCGCGAGAAACAATAACACTTAACACATACGAAGCTACGCATTGCACTGCGATATTTTCTCCTGGTGACCGAATCCGGAGGCGAAATTTTAAATAAGATCGCAGGAGACTAAGGAACTGAAAAGAGATAAATGTTATCTCGTTTCGTCGCGAGAAGTTTAATTTATTTCGATCGAATTTCAGTGAGAAACGCTGCTCTTCAACAAAGAAAATTAACATAATTGCAAAAAGTTCCTCTGCAGTTTTCGTGTGAAACAGAGAGATCTATACGAATTTTGTTCGACTATGCAATTTTTTTTTGTAACACGACTTTTAACATTTGTGATGAAGAGTTTCGACGAGATGTCCTGAGTATGTTATTAATTTTTGAAAATTAAAGCTCGCAATTAAATAACTCGTTGAAATCGTCGGTAATTTTGTTTCAATAAAACCTTTTGTTTAAAATCTGGTAGAAATCAAAGTATCTCTTGAATCCTTTTGAAACGCATACAAATCTATTTCTGAGAAATTAACCAACGAGTATATAATCTGTTGTTGTCTACTTTTGCTTTTAAAGTTTAGTTTATGGTAAGAAGCTCCTCGTTGATTCGATCGTTAATCACTCGATAAAAACGACATTTTCGCCGTGGAGAAACGTCGTAGATACGAAGCCGGCGAAAAAGTCTGCAGTAGAAAGAACATGCCGCGGTCTCGGGGCGTTGAAGCTATAAGTTTATTATAATTTTCACACAATCGCTGCGCGTCGGGAAACAATTATTTCCGTCCGCGGATTATTATATTTACAAGCGCGACAAATATGGGGACGCGGACTGTGTTTCGCGCCAAACCGTGCGTTTAGATTGTGTCATTCTGCTTTCCAATTCAATTAACCGTGCGGGAGCCGACCTCGATGTGGCTGCGTACGAACGTAGTCGTCCTTTCAGCCGTTCGACATCACCGGCGTGGAAGGATATCCGTCATGGTGGATCGAAGAGCGCGTTGATTCTCGTGCGTACCTTACCCGGTTAAAAGCGCGAAGACTGCCGTAGGAGGTCAAGGGACACCGGTGACGGCGCACGTTAATTGGCCAATTCCCGGCTAACCAAGTTTTACGGCCGAGTGATGCAAGAACGTGACGTAGCAGAATTTTATCTTCTGCATTATAGGTGTGCAGCTTTTTATTTCGCGATAGTGCAAGGCCGTCAGTAATGTAGTTTTGTCATTTGTTGCAGCTACTTTGCGTTTTACTTCGTAAAAGAATAATTCGGTGGCAAATTGTTTCTCCAATAACGAAAATTGTTGTAACGATAATTTCTTTATTACAGCCGATGCTTTACAAAATTATTGTTGCGTAACCAAGGTTTCTTCCTTCGAAAAATTGAAGTGAATATGTAACGTACAAGATGACGAATATGAAAGTTATCAATAATATTAAATTTTGAAAATTGATTCTATTCTACACAGTAATAAATACTGTTTGATAAAACGAAGCTTTTAACGAGATCATTATTTTGTCTTCCATTTAAAATCAAATAGCTATTGGAATAGAGAATAATGATTGTTACGATTTAACTGTCGTTATTAGCAAATGATATTATTATATAATATCTAGGAAATATTATTTTGCCAATTTACTCGAGTAATAAACCAGAATTAGTGCGTTTACAATAATTCCAGTTTGTGTTTCATACACTAATTTTTCGTAGAAAGAAATATTAGAGATAGCGTCAAACTTAATACTATAATGTAAATAATATTTTTAATTACAGAACATTAATATGTAGAAGATTTTACCAATAGCTTCCAGACTATCAATAAAATGCTGCTGTGAGTGTATAAAAGTATTGAAAAGTGTTAGGAAAAAGTACGTAATCAACTTGGATAAAAGCTACATTTATAACAATAATAAATAAGAATGGTAATTGGTAATTAATGGCTGAATGAATGACTATTTTTTTCATGCAGGTAATTGTTTTGCATCATATTTGGTACTTTTGACTAATTGAACCAATTGATTACTTGAGTTTAATTTCCTTCATATATATTTATTACGGGGAATTGCTGTGCGAAACTAATGATCTCTTTAAGATTATCTTTACGCTCTTTTATCATGTGTTTAATTTCAAATAAATCGAATTTTGCGTGAAATAAATTTCCGAGAATCTTGCAACCTGAAACAGATTAATTCACGATGTTTATCAATAATAACTGGTTGTTTAGCTGCAATCCAATAAAACGTGATCTTTTATTTGACTTAACAATAAGTACATATGGTGTGCGTAAAAAAATATATAATAGCAGCCAAAAATTGATAGTCGCCAGTAAATGATAAACCGAAGAAAATTATTTAACGACCCAACTGACAGAATAAAAGTATATATTTAACTCTTTAGCTGCAGAGACGTATTTGTACACACACACATATACATGTACATGTGTGGCTACAATTCAGGGCTGAATTATCTATTCACGACACGACCGCAGGACTTAAATATTAATATTAATTTAGCTACGCAAAGTTGCAGTAATTTACAATTCGACACACGACGAACGGTTTTCATTTTAAGTGCCACAGCCAAAGAGTTATTAATAGAAAATTAATAAGAATAAGTTTAAAATTATAAAATTTACCTTGTCAACTTGTTCGTCAGAAAAAACATTCCAGAGAATATTTTTATTATTACCTTCTTATCAATAAATCTATAAATAACAAAATACTGTATTCATAATTAATATACAATATATGATAAATTCGTATAAACGATTAAGAAAGCAATATATTTATTAGGGAAATGTTAATACCTGGTTGATACTTTCAAAATTGTCCAATATGTAGTCGAGGATCCAATCGTTGCGCGCATGCTTTTCAAGAATGGTATTGAAGATAAGATGATGCACCTCATCGTCGAATAATGTCTTCGTCGCTGCGCTAAACAAATAGCTGATAATTATATTGGAATCTTCGGCGCAACACAATCCTTCTAAAATCTTTTCGTCACGATTTCGTATATATAATTTCGACACTTTATCCCAAGTAATCCTATCAGCTGTAGTCAAACCAAAGCAGTACGTCCAATCTTGCCACCATTGCGGAATTCTGAAACGAATATCTATGAAAAAGAAGGTCATGCACTTCGTAAGTAGACATAGCCGACGTTTCATTTTATCAAGCTTCGTATTTCCTTCTGTTTCGTTGAGCAGCTGTCACTTCGTGAAATGAAATTCCTGTTACGCGTTGCTCTCTACTCTATATGTATACTAATACAATTTACGAGACAATCATGGTCGCGAGAATATAATAGTTTACGTGTTAGTATCAGGATCCTCGAGGTACTTATTTAATTTATCGGCGGCCGTTTTCTGGCATTTATCGTGACCGATGGTACACGCCCATTTCGTGGCGTCTAGCCTTAACAGCTTTGTAACGTCGTCAGGATTTTCTTCGTACCCCAGATACGCAAGGAGCTCATCTAAGATTCTTATCAGGAATAACTGGAAATCATGAAGCAATATGAATATGAGTTTTACATTGGTTCGTTGGTGCACTGAAAGTATCCGATTAAATATAATCGGACGATCCAATTACATAATAACAAACGGCTACATCCAATTAAATTGTCTATCCGATGAAAAACGTGATCGGTTTTTCAATCGAATTTTACCGGTAACAGTATTTTATTCGATAAATTTCATTAGATGTATCCATAATTTGATCAGAAAACGTAATCGGAAAAGTTAACCATCGGAAACACTAATTGGTTTATCCGTTGGAAATTTTTCTCAGTGTACTTATTTATTATATTTTGCACGTGACATGTAAAAAGTTTGCGTATTACACGAGTGTAGTGTATTTGCGATTGCACAGCAAATTCGAATATCTGCGTTACACTTTTACGTTACTTTAAAGTTTGATGTAGCTCGTAAAAAAATGATAAAATCAGTACATTCTGTAAATTTTATATCCATAATACTGTGCCAATACAAGAAATCCGCTCACATAACGCTCAGCTTTGAAGATAATATTTGCAAAGCGATTCAACAAAAATGGAGAATGCGTGTAAATGTAAAACTGGATAAACTATTTTCTACCTTGAAACTCTCTGGCAGCAAATAGTTCCTCGACAACTCATTTAAATTTCGGAACATTGTACGCCATACTATATAATCTCTCTCGCGCCGCATGTACGTTACAATATTGACGAATAAAAATACGTCCACTTGATTCTTCAGCAAGAAGGCAAACGCATCGTCGATGATTTCGGCACGATTGAGAACGTGTATGTTCGTGAATGTCTCAGAGTGCAAGTAATTCGTGATTCTTTGCCAATTCGTGATATCGTAATAGACACGACAGTACACTGTCAAATTGTTCATTTGTATTATTACATCTTTTTGTTTAAATTTATCAAGATTACAAATATTGACACTTTGTCTTCTTCAATGTAACAAACAAATTAGCGTATGTATAAAACGAATTAATATAACGTAACGTGACTTACGAAAGTTATAAAAAATGTGGAAAGCAAAAATTAAAAATTACTTTACATTAACAATTCAGCAATGTTTCCGAAAATTTAATCATACAAATTTTCTTTGAGCTATTTTAAATAAAAACAAAGTATATGTGATGCCGAATAATATAAAACTTTCATCATTATAAAAGAAATAGGATAAATAAAAAACGTTACATTTGTTGCTTCCATACCAGTTTGTTGTACATTGACTATAATCCCATCGCTTGGATCAACTTTGAAACTACTAATTTGATCTGGCCCTAACCAATGATCTGGCACAGTGCTGATAAACCACAGGTTTTCCAGCGTAGCGTAGGTAATAGGTATCCACCACTTCTTACTGATATGCCTATAAGTTGCGCAGGAACAATTCTGTGTTATCGCCACTTCGCCAGTTGTGTAATTTCTCGTCACGTTCAGCACAGGATAGCAATTTTGATTTATCCACGTGTCCATCACTTCTTTCACTTTGAAACGTTTGCGCGCGACATAAGACCCTTCTGCAAATACTTATGTCCAGAGCACTTTGCATGGCGCGCCACAATTTGTCGGGAGTGACCGACTCAAATTGGCTAAGTTAAAAAAAGTGACGTTATCAACAACTATCGAACATCGAGCAATATATAATTGCGGGGATGCTGGAGTGATTCTGCACTCTTGCACCTTTCTAACCTAAAAACTGTCAGTTCGCGGAAACATTTGTGTAGTACACAAATTAAATAGCTTACGTGTACAGATCGAAAGCAGCTCGCTATTCCGGCCAAGTGAAAGAACAATATGGCATCATTGAAACGAAGTTTGTAAGTCTAATAAGAAATAATAGTGAGCGACACATACGTACAGTACATGTGATATGTGTGTTGCTCGCTATTATTTTTTATTAGACTTACAAACTTAGTTTCAGTGATGTCATATTGTTCTTTAATTTAGCCGGAATAGCAAGCCGCTTTTGATCATCTGCACGCGTGCCATTTAATTTGTGTATTACACAAATCTTTCCACGAAACAGACAGTTTTAAGTGCAAAAGGTGCAAAAGCGCAGAATCACAATATAGATACAAGAAACATTATAATTACGATATTTAATATTGTGATGTACGACGATTATATTAGATCACGTTATACTTACTATGTAGTTAAATACGTAATGACACCCTTTCGAAATACTTCGTCGGTAATTGTGTGATGTAACATGCGCAATATAATTGGCGCTACGAATATACGCCATAAAATATTGATTAATACGTATGGAGTAGATTGTACGATTAAAGTAGATTGGTGCATGGAATTAAGAAAGTCTTCTACTATAAGATAGGTTTTTAATATGAGATAGTAGGCTTTCAACACCTAAATTCAATCACAAAAATCTTTTTTCGCAACGATTACACGATCTAACAGTCAATTTTCTTCTAAACGGACTCTGCTCCAAAGGCAATAAATTCATGGTGGAATCAACGGATGAAACTTATTAATTCAGCAGAAACTCTACTATCTCACATTAGGCGTCTATCTTATATAATAGAGGATTTTCCTCTGTGCGAATGCACTGTACAAAAGAAGAATTTGTTCGCTATTAATCTTCTGTTTCATTTCTTTCTTTATGCTACCTACATTAAGATATCCACGGACGAGGATTCAATTATATTTACATAATCGTACCTTTGTGACGCACTTCAATATCGAAGAGAACCGAATAATCAAAGTTCCAAGATGTAAGATCCAATGTAACAGAACGCATGTGGCCACTATCGGAAGCGAGACACTGTTGTAGGTGCTCAATCACAAGGATCTGCATTGTCCGCCAGTCTTTAAAAATCTACAGAAACAATTCTTTGACGCAATGAATAAAAATTCGAAGAAAAGTTTAGAAATATAAATGCGAAAAGTAAAAATATTCTTTAATTTTAGTAAATATTTGTACTAAAATGTTTTTATAATTGTTCGAAAAGAACGCGTTACAATCTTCTTTATAATTCCAGATTGAAAAACGTGCCATATTTTTATTTACTTTAACTCGATACATTATATGAAAATTTGAAAATACTTAACAATCGTTACTTTAATCTTAGCAACTATACTTCCAATTTTTCACAATGTAAAAACTTGCATTAATAATATTAAATAACCTTGTTGAGAAAATAGGCTTCAAAAAACCCAATAAATCCCTCACTTAACCACACATGGGACCACCAAGATGGGGTGACCAAATTGCCAAACCAGTGATGTAAAAGTTCCCTTGCCACTAACGACGCTACTGATTTCCTTCGGAATGTAGGATCCGTGCTATTGTAAATAACATTTAATTCGCTGAAAGACAAAACATAACATAATGTACAAAATGTTATCAAGCCAAAAACTTCCTCATTGCGAGCCTGCAGTCTGTGTGTGTTTCAGAGTAATTGCATTATTGATATAATTTCTTTATCTAAATAGACTCAGATTATTTGGAATTTTCTCTTTTTGTGTGTGTGTTATATAATATATACAGGATGAAAAAAGGAAGTGACGTAACACGTTAATGAAACACGATAATTTGTTTAAAACAATAAAAAATATGCATCTTTTCAATACCCGTGAAATACACGTGCTTTCAATGATCAGATTTCAAAGAGAAAAGACCAAAGACTGGCCAGCTTTAATAACTTAACGTTTCTTTTTAACTAATGCGTATTACTTGTAAATGATGGGTCCCCAATGTTCCAAGCTGTAGGTTGGATAATAGTGTATCAAGACATGATCGATTTTCGGCGCTGTTTCGAAACTATTGGTATATTGGAGTAAAACCGACGTGATATTTTCGGCAACACCGTGTACGAATCTCGCTTGTGACGTCAGAGACGGTCTACACCACACGTTTACAGTTTCATTAGCGTTGTAAATGCGATCGAAATTAGATATCACAATCCCCACGAGGTAAGTGGACATTACTGGAGTGGTCTCGAAGTGCGTCCACACCATGCCATTTTGTCCCACGGCTGCTCTCGCATCGGCATATTCGACAATACCCTGTATTTACGGTGATGCATCACGGAGATGTTGAAGGTGGCTTTTAACTCTGGCTCGTCCCAACACGGAAACACTTGTCTGGCCTTATTTGGCTTGAAAAACGTTACGGCCAGTCTACGATTTAATAAAGTTTCTTCAATAAAATTCCAAGTAAAATTTACAATCCGTGTCGAGCAAGACATAGACTTTTAGAAAATACTAGTTATCGTTTACTATTGTATGATACGCAGTAATAATTTTATTCGGAGTAAAAACAGAAATGCTATAGTATCAGACCGTTTTATTTTTAACTTGGAAATTAAACGTTACATGCAATTATTGCATATTTTGTTGTAATTATATATACATTGTTAATAATTACAAAGCTACGTGTTTAAGCAAAGTTTTACCAAGCTTCAAGTGCTGTAAGGCAATAACGATGAAAGTAAGTAAAAAAACATTGGAATAATTAAAAGTAATAAATACAAAAATATTGAAGTAATTAATAGCAGCAGCTAATTGTATTTGCGTAAATGAATTTATTTTATAAATACATGTATTGTAAATGTACGTTTAAAATTTACTTACGTACTGTTTCCTTCTTTGTTCGTATATTGCATTTTTATAAAGCCGCTATTTAAACCGTTCTCAGAAAAATTACCAACGAACTCCATGTTCAGGGTGTAAAAACCATACGGGAATACAGTGGCGAAACGTAGCGTCAATATATTCATCGCGTGGTTGTAAGTATGTTCCAGCGGTTCATAGATGTTACCATTGTCGTCAATCAGCGTTGTCGCTTCTTTACTTATTTCCAATTTTTTCGAGTGTAAGCTTATCGTTGGCGTTAGGTGAAGAATCTTGATAACGACACTGGTTTTACCGTAAAAAGCAATGTCGCCTTTCTCGAGATGCGTGACCAGACTGACGTTATAGTGACATGGTATTGTGATCACGGGTAAACGATACATTGATTCCAAATCATTTCTCTCGTCACAAAAAACCGAAGCTGTAGTCAACATCAGACCGATATTTAATAACCATCTTGGGAATTCCATGTTAGTACTTGTTTGAGCTGTCTGTGGGTTTCGAAAACTAATAAGAATACAATGCAGTCCAAAGTTATTGCAACGTAATATTAATTTTCACACTAAAGCAGAAGGAATAAAGGATAAAAGAAGGAAAGTTAATACATCCAACTTTTATTAAGAAAGAGAACCACGTAAAAGAATTAGTTTTCCGAAAAATTATAAATATTTTTTACACAGTGGGTTTTTATGGGCTCACAACTAATTTTTCTTATTATTCTTCTTTTCTTGTAGTTCATTTGGAAATAAGTAAAGAATTAATTTATTCAATTTGTGAGGGGAGGATAATTTTAAATATCTAAGTAGCACATGTACCTTTGGCTGTATCAAATATTTCGTTAACTATCAAAAATAAAACACGTAATTACAGTTTGTTGATATATGGAATTTGATTTACTTAGTTGTCGATTGTAGCACTTTAGTTAGAAAAAAAAACAAGAGGTACAAATCTGTTTTTTATTGCTTACTTGTACCCCAACATATTTTCACTTAACTTATTTTACTAAATTTAATTATTAAATTTTTCGAGGAAGAGAATATTTGTGTTCGAGAATTATTTGATAGATCTTCAAATTATAAATGTTATTTCGCAGTTTCCAAATAAATGGACCAAAATGCAAAAATTAAGAATAGAGGTTGGTTGATCTTTGGTTGATTTCTAAAATAAATTATTCATGAAATTACGCATTTAAAACGTTAATCATGTATCTTTTGCAAATAACTAGTTATCTTAAGTTTCTTTATCATTTCTATAAAATATGTTTCTTAAACAGAAATAATTTAATGATTTTAAAGAATAAAAATAACCAACACTTTTCATCATGTAGCTGTTACTATTAGTTTGCCGATAACAATAATCTTGTTTCTCATTTAATTAAACATTTTATTTTACGTTCGGAACGTCATGTCGTAAGATCAATTATTTGGGACTAATTAATGATTATTTAGTAAGGAAAAATAATAAGAATTAAATTACAATCCACACAAGGAAAGAGATAATCCTAAAAGATCAAAAGTAAATTGAATCGTGTCTTGTCTTTCAAAATTATTGAAATAACGAATAACAAATTATTATATACAAATGAGAGATAAATACCTAATTAATTATTATCGCGTTGAACGACTTGCTTTGTATATTGGCACTTGTGTACTGATTAATACACAGTTTATCCAGGAATTAATTATAAATTGTCTCCGCAAGAGCCGTTAACACGTGACAGATCGGCATAATTGTGTCTGCCGTCTTTCCATCTCGAAAAATCACCGAACACTGGCTACAATGTCAATCTCCGATGATATAATAAACATGTCATGTAAATACAGTGATTCACAAAACTGATAAAACGTTTGGAATTCGCGAACAAAAATATCTGCGGCAAGATCGAACTGACGTATGTTATACGTTGAAATGTCGTTTCCTTGTCTTCTTCGAATCAGTTGGATAATTTTTGCATAATACACTTATCACTATATGCTCTAAAATCATATCAATTATTCTGCCCGATTGCAAATTCACTCTTGTCGTCGACTAACGATTTATACTCTCCAAAAGTCAATCAGTGGATTATCACTGAAAAGTGAATAGCCACTGATTTACTGTTACAAGTGCACCACTGAAGGCCCGTTTTTCATCCTTTGGTTAGCTATTAACCAGAAGTTGGTCGACTCTCCATCTTTTTCAATATTATTATCCGAGTTACTGTCTAAGAAGAGACAGTTAATCGACTAACTTCTGGTTAACATTTAACCAGAAAAACCGGGAAAAATCGCAGTGGTATACTCGTAACCGTAGGGCCCGGTTTCACCGAACGTCGTTCAACTTTAATCTTAGTTTAATTCACGTTTGTCTCTTTCTAAAGTTGGAAAGAGACAAAGAACGAATTAAGCAAGGCTTGTAGTTAAGCGACGTTGGTGAATCTAAATCGGTTCACCGTTTTCAGTGATAATTTACTGATTGATTTTTTTTAAGAGTATTGTTCATTTGTTTCTTTCTTCTTCAATTTTTAAGGCTCTCCACGTGCTTGCATAAACGAAGAAGTCCCGATGTACGCCGTGTACTTTGTATACTTGGTTTAATTACGCGGAGATAGGATTTATCCTAGAAACATAATTAGAGACACGGCCAATTCAATTCAATTCAAATTTCACGGTGCGTGCGATGGTAACGGGATACCTCCGTCAATTTTCAGACGATTTGAATCCCATGATGATTCCATCGCGATGGATACTCCCTTACCAATTAAAGAACAGCGTTACGTGCTAGAACGAATTAATTCCGCCTGTTGTTACACAATAAATTTATTAGCCAGGCGTGCATAAAATGCAGGATATGTAAAGCAGAAGTCATAAGTGCGACACAGCTCACTATTGTTTCGCAGGGTGAGACTTGACCACCTTGAATATTTCTATTAGATGCAAATGCCTGTTGTTTTACTAGTTTCACATCGCGGATCTGTACCGAAGCATATTTCTCATAAGCTGCATAGTAGCGCGTAATTTTAACTTTTTTTATCTATATTACTGTAATATTTTAATTTAACACTATAATATTTTACATTTTATTGTATTTATTCTGCCTTTATACAGCCATCAAACTTATCTTTTAATAGCCACTAAAAGTGGACGTTAAATACGTGAAAAGTATACATTAAATATTAAAACAGATTTAACGACAGTTTAGAAGGAACGGAACATTTTATTGCTCCTGTTGATTTTTGCCAAAGGTATCGAAAGCTGTTGTTATTATGCATTTTAATTTAATTGCAATAATTATCGCTCGTTCTCAATTAATGGTTCCATCAAACCGTTGTTCGCCATTCTTTTAACGAATCCAGCCAGGAATGTTTTATTTTTTGCATGAAAATTAAATTAACTAAATGGTATCTCTTAAATAAAGGTTACTTATTTATTGTCCAGTGATTCATTCTACAAAATGCACTGTTTTATGAGACACGATGAGATAATTGCAAGTCTACTTGTTTTTCGATTTTCAACGAAGAACAAATCTCACCAATAATTATTAATAACGCGCCAGTTACTTTTTATTACTAAAAATCACGATACCGATACAATTAAGTCAACGAAACGAAACTTTGCATTTCTTTAACCAAATTATGCAAAGTGGTCGTCGAAAGTTTGATTCCTGCACTGAGAAAATTTTTCATCGGACAAACCTGTTAAATAGTTTTCCGGTTAAATTATCGATACATCCGCAGAAATTTATCCGATAAAATGCAGTTTCGTTAAACATTTTTTTCCGGGTACCGAGAAAATTTGATTGAAGAACCGATCGTATCTTGTCATCGGGTGTACAATTTAATTGGATACATCCATTTGTTATCATGTAATTGGATTATCCGATTACATTTAATTGGACATTTTTCTCAGTGTGCCACATTCACGGCTGCATGCGCCAAGCTTGCCGTTAAACGGGCGGATCGATAAGATTACTAATCTGAAAGATTACGGAAAGCGGCATCGGTAAAAGCACATTCGCGCCGCATAACTGCACGCCTGATGAGAGGTGTGTTATCACGGCGCATGCACGCGCTATGAGATACGCAGAACACGCACGCGAGCACGCTCGGGTGCCGGCGGTTGCATTCTCACGTTGGTCATCGCCACGGAAAAGCATCGTAATGCCATTGTTCGATTTCCTACGCGTGAATTTTCCCGAGCCGCTCGCACATTCCGGCGAGCGCAGAAGCCACGAAGCCCGATCCGGAGTACACGCATTACGAAACTTTTCGGAATAGATTTTCATCGGAATTGTTTACTTATTTCCTACACTTCGATACAATAGTATCTTCCAGGAAAACAGAATCATTCCGATCAGAATCCACAGATTCCGAAAAGTTCCATAATACGCGGAGAGAATTTTTTAATTTATCCTGAAAATCATGTGATCTTGGGACAACACGGCGTTTTGAAGAATTTTATGAGTTTTTTAAATTTTATTATACGTTTTACTAGCAATTATACTTATTGTTGGTATGGTCGAATTTCAAAAAACTCAAGTCCACACGATGCTAGAACTTAGTCCAAGTTGCTCCCGTGACTTCATCGAGTTGCTCTTGTAACTTCACCAACTTAAAACACTTGGTCAATAGTAAATTTTTCCGAAAAAAATACTGTTTTTCATATTTGTTTATTTATAAAACTTTTACAACAAATATTAAAGACCACTCCACTTGTTTATGTTCTTTTATTGCTAAGATACCCAAAAAAGTGCTAAAATCCCAAGCTGGAGTGATTCTGCACTTTTGCACCTTTCTAACCTAAAAACTGTCAGTTCGCGGAAACATTTGTGTAGTACACAAATTAAATGGTTTACGTGTACAGATCGAAAGCAGCTCGCTATTCCGGCCAAATGAAAGAACAATATGGCATCATTGAAACTAAGTTTGTAAGTCTACTAAGAAATAATAATGAGCAACACATACATACAGTACATGTGGTATGTGTGTTGCTCGCTATTAATTTTTATTAGACTTACAAACTTGGTTTCAGTGATGTCATATTGTTCTTTAATTTAGTCGGAATGGCAAGCTGCTTTCGATCATCTGTACACGTGCTATTTAATTTGTGTATTGCACAAATCTTTCCACGAAACAGACAGTTTTAAGTGCAAAAGGTGCGAAAGTGCAGAATCACTCCAGCATCCCCGAAACTGAGAGGAAAGGTCTTGTTTCCCCAACGACTTCCCATCTCGAAAAAGAAGTCGCGGCATTAAAATAAATTGCACTCATCGCGCAGATGCGAGGGTGACGAAAATTGCTCCTCGCGCACAATGCGAAGAGTCAGATGCGCAACATCCTTACAGCTCGTCCGAAGCGTTCGGCATAAGTTATCTGAACGAAGTGTTCGCCGGTCGTTCACACGAGAAGAGACAAATGTGAAAGTGAAATTGGGAAATGATGTACAAATTTTATTCTCGTATGCCGTGGGCGCGCGGTGAATAAATAACGCGACAGGCGTTATGTGCACTCCGCTGTTACGAATTACGCTTTACCTGCCCGCGAGCCTTTCCTGACAAACGGACGCCGATACGATCGGCATACGGGCGACACAATCGGTGTCGCTCCTAATCGACACTCCGCTCACGCATTCATTTCACCGTGCACGATGTGACGCTCGTTCGCGACCGATCGCCGCCACCTTGTGTCGTTCACTCGCCCCCATCCGAAATGTGGCCTTGCTCGAAATATCGCGAGTACGTCGAGGAAGGAAATTTTTATTTTCGCAGCAAAACTGTCTCTCTACTTTCTACGAGATTCTGTTTGCATGTACGACGCGAATGCGACCCTACGTCGCCGGCATAATTATTTGTTCAGTGACACAACGAAGACTTTCTTTCGTAAAATGAAGATTTTTTTTCTACTTTAATTTCTTTGTAAAAATGCAAATCTGTTACGAGGGCAAATTTTGTTCGCCAAGAGAGTTTTATTCTTGGTAGATGTTTGTTGTGGAGGCGACAATGTGTTTTGTAGACAAGACAATTTGTTGTTGCGAGGAAAGAAAGGGTGATCTTATTTTTGAATTAATCGAACTAGAGTTTGAAGCATAATTATTTGTTTAATGATAAAACGAAGACTTTCTTTCGTAAAATGAAAATTTCTTTCTAATTTAATTTATTTGTAAAAACGCAAATTGTTCGCCAATTAAAGAAATATTTATTCTCAGTAAATGTTTATTGTGAAAAGGTAATCTTATATTTTTGAATTAACGGAACCAGAGTTTGAATAGCGCAATTATTTTAGATTTAATTGAGATACTTGAATAATAATGAAATCTTGCAGAAAACGATGGTTCTTAAAAATTTTCATTCAAGAAAAATTGTCTTGTAAAAAGAAACAAACTCGTGGAATGTGGATATCCCGCGTGTGGACTATCCAATACCCCGTCAGAGAATTGAACGGGATCTACTTGTTTATCGCTGTCGTAAATTTTTCTTGTTTACGCTCAGATTTTATGAACTCGCGAGACATTAGAGATCGTCTGCTGAGATAGAAGGACTCATAGTGATTTATGCTAATTTCGTCATTGGCAATTTCTTCTTTTCGCGGCTCCGGCGCGTGTTTTATTTCAAAAATTAGAAAAGGCCGTCCTTTAATAAAACATTTATTTGTATTAAAGTTGCTTGCATTATATATTTATTAAAAATTTGTCTCGTTAATATTACTGTCTCCTTTATTTCTTTCGGTAAAATCTTATGCTCGATTGTTTGGGCGTAACATTTTAATATAAAAAATACAGGGTATCAAGTTTGTACGAATATCCATTTTATTTGGCGCAATTTGACGATGTACCATTACTTTTGTGGAGACAATAAAAACGTATAATTTTCTAACAAAATATATCCAAATATAATTAAATTGTACATTTCTTGATTTACTTTAACTCGCGGACAGCAAGCGGCGTGGTAGCCAAGGGTTAAATGGAGCCGATAAAACCTTGGCCGGTTTGCCTGTCTGAGGTAACGCGTCGTGGATCGTTAACAATGTACGTGCGATACGTTTTATTAGCTTTACCGAAAATTCTCACATCGCGCGCGTGCGATGACGTAAAGACGTACGGCGGTTGTAAAATTGTCGTAAAAGCAGCTTTTACAGAACTTGGCCGAGCGCCCGCAATCGTGCGGGCTCAAAGGAAAACGAATTGCCCTTAGGGCCGCGGTTGAGTCCCAAGGAATAGGATCTGAGGACGCTGAGGTAGAAGAACCGGACAAACGAGATCGAGCCCCTTTTCAAGACTCCTTTTCGCGTTCTCTCAAAGCAGTCGCTTCGCTGCCTCCGCGGGCCAAATTCAATTGCTTATCGCGACCGCAGTTGAGACTTCGTCCCAAAGCAGTCTTCGGCGTTTCGCGGTAACCCGCGGTATTCGCCCGATAACCGGGGATTCGACAAATCTCTGTAACACCCGAGTCACCGCGCTTTTTCTAATGCAATTCATTCCGCCGAGATCGCGCTGCGATATTTCTCCGTTGATTAATTGCAATTGCGAGAGGGGGAGGGGTATCTTTTCGGCTGCGAAAAACGATTACCTCGGCGCGGCGTGGCTCGGGCAGGAATGTCGACGCGGCGCCGAATAAAATTACAAGGCGCTTTTTTGCACTTTCTGCATACCTGCGTCGCGTCGGCGTGAGTTCTCGTAGATCGCTCGGAAATACCGGCATAAAATAACGTACAAAAATGATGTATACTTAATAAGCATAATTATGACGTTAATGAGCCCTCGTCTTGGATCGTCTCGTCCATTTCACCGCACGTTCGCGGGGGCCGTAAACTTTCTTCGACTTCGCGCGTGCGTCGCGCGCAGGAATTTCGGCGCGGCGCCGAATAAAATTAACGAGCGCCTTTTTTTACGCCCGTGTGGAGGACCACATCCTTGATCGCGTCAGGGATTTCCTAGAGTGCGTCAATATCGCCGTGCGAAGTGATTGCACACCGCGGTCTCGCGATTAAGCTCGCGCGAAACGTTTAAATGTTACTGCACTGGGGTGAATTTTCTCTTAAAATTCACCCTGAAAATTACGCGACCGTCAACCGAATGAGATTCTTTCAATTTTACCATACACTGACAAGAAAATTATTTTAAACTAAGTAAATAGATTTACTTAAAATTAATTTCTTTTACCGAAGTAAATATTTATTCTGTTTAAATAAAAATATCAAATTTCACGTAAATCTGTGTATTATATTAAGTAAATTATCCTCATCCTAAACTCTGTGCACGCAAAACGTGCGCCGACGCCCAATGTATGTTTATCTCTTTTTAAAGTGTCGGAATTTTTGGAGATTTCAACGCGAGCGAGCCCGATGTCGTGTGCGCTCCGTCGAATTCTCGGCGACGCTTTCAGAGAGAAAAAAAAGGTACGTCTACGATCGCGCGAAGCAACGTATCTAACAGACAAATTTACGGCGCTAATAAATCTCCGTCTTATCCCGTCAGCCTTCGTCACGAGAGAGAACCGCAAGCTTTCCTCGATTTAGTGCGCGCGTCGCGCGCAAGAATTTCGGCCCGTCGAATGAAATTAAAGAATGCCTTCTTCTACTTCTTCTTTTTTTTCTTGACGCTCTCCGCATATTTGCGTCGCGTCAGCGTGATTTCCTCGAGCGCGTAAATACGTTCCGGATCCCGTGGACTCTGCTCCTCGTACCGTGACGTGTGTGTACGAAACCCGGATAGATGGACAAAGTGGGGGCACTCGGAGGCGCGTGGCCGCCACTGGACGCGCGGGGGCAACATAAAACGAAGCGGCAAACGAGATCGAGGCTCAGTATACACGAGACCACGATCCAGTGACGAGAGGGACGATTAAGCCTCTTATTGATTGTTTGACAACAATCGTACCTGTGTGATCGCACGTGTGATCGCAACCTGCCGGCGCGAAGCGAGTGTCGCGACGTGGAGAACGGACCGCGGGCGGAAAAGGAGAACAGGCGTAACGATGATCGGCGGGAATTCGATCGCGAGGGTCGCTACCTGCATTCTGCTTGGATGCTGCGTGACGATGCGAGTCACCGGCTCGGCGATACCGATGTGGGAATTTCTCTCGAGAGACGAGAAAGTGAGTACCGGGGTTTGTCCCACCGTTTATTCAACCAATTACGCCAATAATTGCAGTTCGATGCGAGAGATTTGCCAGTTTTCTATTAAATTCTAAATAACCGACGCTACTGTGCGTTTTGACGCCAAGTACTTGAGATGAAGCTATTCCAGCTTCTCAAAACACGCGTTGCTTCAAGTGAAGCTATTTCATCTTTTCAAAGCACTGCTTTAAGTGAAACTACCCGAGGCTTTTTAAGTAAAAATTGGAAAGATTCTTCCCTAGACAAGATCTTGTTGTATCGCGTTGACACTGCCGGCTATTTTTGACTGCTGCACGTTCGAAGTTATACAACTCTGTTTCCAATTTTATTCGACAGATCCGAAACACCATTTGCATCAATTTAATGTGATTCAATGTGAAATAGACTCGCGTACGTAATTCGATAATAAGATGCTCCTTTGTCGTTTATTTAAAGTAACAAATTCTGTGAATATAGAAATGAAAAATATAAAAGTACGAGGCAACAGATGAAAAGATATAAGAAAAGAATTTACGCCGTGTAAAAGAAATTGCATCTTCGTCGGAATAATTTTGCACGAAAGAGAAAGATACCGCGGACTATTCCCGTCAGAACGCATTGCATTCTCATTTCAACTTGCACATCGAATAAAACCGCTCTACAACGTTTCTCTTCTTTACAAATTATTCCGAGAAAGATTAAGTGTACAAATACTTATTTCGCTCACTGCAGCTGCACTTCCGAGTCGCTTAATTTCTTTTTATCTTTACATATGACTGCTGCTATTGTATATAATTGCTAAACCCCTTTCATTAGTTTCGCATCGAGTCGCGAATGAGAGACGTTGCAAACATCTCTTCGTGATATCAGCTATTCAGTGGACTTTCACCGAACAATCGAGTGTGTCCGATGCAAGTGCGTTGCATCCGAACCACGTGCTGGGGCGTACTCGGTGACTGCGTTTGAATTGTACTCGCGTGAGTCTCTCAGCGACGAATTAATAAGCCCGGAATAAGCATCCTTTCGGATACTCGTTAAAAACGCTTTTGATTAGGGCAAGATAATTCGTTGTCTTACACGCGGAGAGAATTTTCTCTTCAAATTATCTGAATTCGCTCGCAATTTATCGCGGGACAACACGGTATTTCGAAGATTTTGTGAGATTTTACCAGTAAGATGTATGGTAAAGTTCAGAAAAAACTCTTAAAATTCTTCGAAATGCCATGTCGTCCCACGATTACATGATTTTCTTTGAAAATTCACTTGATTATTCCTAATGTGAGAATAATCAAGATTCACTTTGCATTTCATTTTATTATAAGTGCGTATAATGTATTTATTATCGTCCTAAATTCGCAGTGTCCCAAAATTTTACGGAATTATTTAACACATCGCAGAGACTTTACTTAACTTTCTCCAACTCTATTTCTATTTTCATTGTCTTTGTATTATAAAACCCTTGCGCTGTACATAACAAATGTGTGAACGGCGAAGTTTAGACTTTTTCTCATTAATGATGAGACGGGCAGCTAACATCTTGTTTCAAACACGTTGCGATTATTTTAAACTTAGACGTAATATCGTTTACTTCATTAGATCAGCGTTGATATAAATTTCAAATAAAAGGAAATTAAAAAGGAAATATCTTCAAAACGAAACTTTAATTGATAAAATTTATTTCAAAATTATGTAATTCGCTGCCAATCTCACGTGACAAATAATTGTACCGGACAAATTATTGCGGCGATCTAACTTGTTTATTACCGTCGTAAATCTTCCGGCAGCGCGAGTAGTCTCGAATGACACATTTCGGTATTGTGAAGTTGTGGAAATCAGGAGCTTCATTTTAATCTCGAACTGCTCGATGTTATCAATCTGCAATAGCCGGATGTCTTGCGATTTTACGCTCGGATCGTAGGGTACCATTTTACCTCGAAGCCCTCGCATTTCCCACGGTGTGTCTTTAGTATCTGCGGAGCGTTAGGCGGCGGTTGTAAAAATCTGAAGATTACCGCGATTATGACGATCGGCTACCGGGAAGATAATTACGCCGTTAATCGTCGCCGTGACACAGTAATTGCACGGATTCTTGCAAGGCGACGAGTGTACAGGAGGCCATGAGTGAAATAAACTTGCGATGATCAGAAATTAACGTTTACTGTCGATATTTATTGGACCATCCAAGCGAAGAACTCGGGCGATCTTCTAATTAAATTGAGCGTGAAGAACGCGTGGATTCTTAACTTCCTTTGGATTAATTTTTATTCGGCGATGTTTATCGCGAATCGCACGCAGAGCTAAAAATAGAATGGCAGTGTGTGTAGAGCCTTAATTGGCGAACGCTGACTACTAAGGTTGAATTACCGCCAGTCATTGAAAGTGCTTCGTACTCTTGGCCAAGGCTATACGCACGGTATTTCGCTGTATGCACCGGATTAAATGTGTGCATGTAATACTCGTGAAGCAAGTAAAAGCGATCGCACGAGTAAGTGCCGAGTTGAAGTTCAAGAGCAGTGCAGCGTGTCTAGGATCAGTTTCTCGGTGGAACTCGGGTCAATGTACGGATTAAAATCCACTTCAGCTGACTGGACTAACAAAAACGTGGTACAAATAATTCAGCGTGTTATCTTTTTTTTAATTGTGCCGGTACAAATAAACACCTTTAGAATTAAACTCAGATATATATATTTAAAATTTTCTTTTGTTTATCCTGAAAATCACGCAATCGTGAAGCAACATGGCGCTTCGAACAATTTTATGAGAGTTTTTCGAAATTTACCATACATTTTCTTAGCAATTATATTTAGTATACATTTTTCTGGTAAAATGTATGGTACAATTTAAGAAAAACTCGCATAAAGTCCTTCAAAGTGCCACGTTGTCCCACGATTACATAATTTTCGGGGTAAATTTTAAAAGAAAATTCTCTCCGTGTAATTTTTGTAGATGTAGAAATATCAACAATTAAAATACTATTTCTCTCTCATATACTTTCAATTGTCATTTCAAACTTTAAAAGCGTAAATCAGAAACACTCGAAGCTGAGGTAACTTTTTTAATCTTCTTCTCCGACTACTCAGGCTCACTTAAGTATTTCAATTCCAAACTAATTTTCGTAATTGTACGTAATTCACGCACACGCGTTCTACAATTAGCTAAGATATTTGACGGACAGATGCGAAGTACAAATATTGCTGCTCCTAAGAGCGTATCTCTAGCGTAACTACATGTATGTAGTCATTGTCTTTCCGCGCTAATTCGCCTGCAGTCGAGAATCCCGCTCATCTCCGCTTTCTCCCAGTTTCCGGGCATCGCGGCGGAAACGGGACAGTAATTCGTCAACTGACCACATACCTAAGGTACATTAGTCAGCGCGGTAATTGCACTGCAGAGACACGAGGCGACAGACACCGTCCTGCTCTTCCCTCCGTGACTTTCAGCTTACTTTCTTAAATATTTAATAATCGCATAGAGAGAGAGGAAGTAAACGCAGTCACACTTGGCGGTCGAAATATCAAAAAACTAAGAGACGTTCGGAAATATTGAAACGGTTTTTCGAAACGTGCGACGTCTAAATTTCAAATCTTTCGTAAAATCATTGTAGACTTTAGGTTTCCCTCGGTTATTAATGCAGGCCAATCGATGGGGATGAATCGGGTCCGTTCGAGGGGAAAACCGCTGACCAAAATCTTGTACACCAATGCCCAGTGGGCATTACTTTATCTTATTATCTTGTTTTATCTTATTTTATCTTTATAATAGCCCAGCAAGGCTTAAAGCCCAAACTGACGCCCAAAAATGCCTAGTAATGCCCAAATAATGCCGCAAGTTTCCCGCTGGGGTCCGTTTGATCCGTAAAGCCCGGGAAAAGCGTGTCAGGGAGCGCCAGCAAGTGTCGAAAGGCGCGCGACGCGAGAATAATAGACCGACGGAATCGCAAAAGGGTACGAGAGCGTCGTTACAGAAGTGTCATTAGAAATTCTAAGATCGGATGCGCGCGTCATCGGAGCGGGCCGCCTGTGTGGACATCGTTCTCGTTATCGGCGACCACCGGCGCTTCTCGCGCGGCGACGGTGCCCGGCGCGATTCGCGACGAGGCGGTGTCGCGCAACCCGATACGTGATATACGGGACGTCGCATCGCGCATACATATTCGGTCAGTTTTTTAACTGTCGGTTCCGTCGCACGGCGTTACACATTGCCGAGTTTCACCGGACGCGCTCGGAATGCGTTTGTCCCCGCGCGATATGGTTCACCTTGCGCGCCTCCCAAGTCCCCGAAGGGGATAAATTGAATTTATATCGATCTCTTCATTTTCCGAAATACGAAGAACATTGTCTGACGAGTTGCCATAGGATTTGGATGCGTTTCAAGAAAAATTGACGTCTCGTCTAACACGTCTACTGGCCGCTTGTTTTATACGCGAAGTAATCGACTCTGACGTTTAAGCCCGTGTCAGACTACGGATTGAGATTGGGATTAGATTGAAATTTGACCAATCACGGTAAAGTTTACTGATCTCAAGTTTCGTGACTTTTACTCTAATTGGTTAAATTTCTATCCAATCTCAATCTCAATTCGTAGTCTGATACGGGCTTAAGAGGACGCTGGGATGATTCTGCACCTTTTGCACTTTTCGCACCTAGAACTATCAATTCGTGAAAACGTTTGTGTAATACGCAAATTGTAAGGCTTACGCGAACGGATCGAAAGTGTTCCATTATTCGGACTGGATGACAGAACAGCGTGGTATCAGTGAAATTAAGTTTAGAAGCCTAACAGGAAATCTACTTGCTCAAATAAGTTACAGGTTACGTAACCTATAACTTATGTAGTGAATAGATTTCTTTTTAGGCTTCTAAACTTAATTTCAACGATACCGTGCTGTTCTCTGATCTAATCCGAATAGTGGGACACTGTACACAGAAGCCACATAATTTGCGTATTGCACAAATGTTTTTATGAATTGAGTTCCAGGAAAAAGTGCAGAAAGTGCAGAATCATTCCAGCATTCCCTCAAAGCCCGTATCAGACTACGGATTGAGATTGAGATTAGATTAAAAATTGATCAATTGGAATAAAAGTTACTAAACTTGAGATTAGCAAACTTTACTGTGATTGGTCGAATTTCAATCTAATCCCAATCTCAGTCTGATACGGGCTTAAGGGAGAGTGTCGCGTGCTCTCAAAAAAAATAATGGAAGATAAGCTCGAGGAAGACGCCTCACGTTCCACGTTTCGTCTCTTCGGCTTCATTCCTCTCGCGGGTGAATCGCGACGCGTCGCGCATTCGCTCGCCGCTCGGCGGGATCAATGGCCATCGCAGGTTCTAAATAGACCCCGCGCCTTTCTCGTTTCAGATGAGTCACCTGTACGGGCTATTCAGCAAACAAGTGGCACGGTTTTGCGACGATTCCTCGAGGCCGGACTGCAACAAGAACCTGCTCATAACCGGCATACGCAGCCTCGCCAGCATGGACGACAACGTCCTCGACAGGCTGGATCCCTATCAGCGCGGCGCGAAGGAAATGAGTAAGAAAACGTTCCTGCAATGGCGAGAAGCTTCGCGTTTACCCGACTGTCTATCACGATCTCGTGTTTGTCGTATAAACATACAAATGAACCGCGAATTCCGGCCTTGACACTTTACGCGGCCTCCCGCTCGAGAGCTACCACTTGCAACGTCCTGTTTTCAGTTTGGCGCGCCATGGTCGGAAGCAACAGATTCGCGTCGAGGATCAGCCACGAAAACGACGACTCTTACTTCACGACCGGTGCCGACTTGCTAGGTAAGTGTACTAGAAACAATTTCGCTCTTTCATTAACTTTTGGCATCGCACTAACAATCCGTCGAGAATAATTTAGGCGATGTAATATTATCGGCTACCATAGTCTCGGTCTAGATAGAGATCTGTGTAAGATGTAAATGGATAAAATATGGCATACACCCAGAGAAATATTAGTCAAATGAGATACCGTGAAATCATATTTCTTTGAGTCTACGAAACTTTTATTTATTTCTGCTAAAACATTTGCTAGATTTGAAGAAATAGATATAAATTCTTTTAAAAGGTCCAGTCTCAATAAAATGTTGGTTAAGGTGAAGAAATAATTTTTTAGGAGTTAAATACAAATCTAGTAAGTTCAAAATTCAAGCAAATATTTTATCTCAAACAAACTTTTCTGGGTGTAGGAAAGAGAAATAACAAATAAAAAAGTTACTTATAGAAAAAGAAAGGGGAAAAATATTATAAAACCCGAGGAATTTCAGCTGGAACATTAGAGATAAAAATCCCGCTTGCAAATTTATCTGGAACTTTGCGGAAAATAATTAGTTTCGCCTCTCTATATTTATTACTTTAACGACTGCATTTGTATTAATGAAAACTCGCTTGTTTAAATCAACGTCGAATGAAACAAAATCTTTCACACGCGGTTTAGAGAAGACGTGTAACATTTAAATTTACATTGATCTTATTTCCTGAAATACGAAGAGTATTGTCTGAAGAATTGTCACAGGACTTGGATGCGTTTCACCAAAAACTGACGTCTCATCTAACACTTTTACTGGCCGCTTGTTTTATACGCAAAGTAGCCGCACGTACACGCCATTGTAATAAGAAAATCATGCGGTGAAGGGAAACGCGTCTCGCGCTGGTCTATTCGAAAAGAAATGACATTTCGCGGATTCGCTTCTTCCTCGTTTCGGGGATCTCTCCGCAATCGCGAACGGAAACAACGTCGTACCATGAGAAAGTTTCAACCGCGGTTTCGATCCCGCTCGTGCTCGCGCTCGTGCTCCTAGAAAGTCTTTTTTTTCTCCCTTGACGATATTGCGCCCGATAAACGGTAAATCCTCGCTGGTTGTCTTCAACCACGTACACTTTCTCCCTTCTTTAAAAAAAAAGAGAGTATCGTGTGCTTTGTCACGCCGATCCATATGATTCATACTCCGTTTTTTGACATTACTAGAGTTGTATTACGCTCGTCGTTTGACCAGTAAGTAGATAGTGTTGAATCGCGAGCAAACAACGCTTGTCGTTCGTGAAGCTCAGACTTTTTTCCCAATAGAAATAATCAGGAATCAGACAATTTTTTGTCTCGGAACTCTGTGATTTTAAAACTGTTGTTAAAAGATTAAAGTCTTACGTTTTTGTCATTTTGTAACAGCAATATTTCGTTATTAAATATCTCTTGAATATATCTAATTCGTTGACAGGGAGACGGGAGCGCTTCCAAGTAATATTTTTAGAAAATTCTATTGATCCTTTGTTTCACGATCTGTTAGCATATTTGACAGTCCTCGCACGTAACAGATATTTGATAAAGATTGAACTCGTATAGAATTTACATCGTTTGTCAAACCAAATCTCCTTTCACTAAAAATAATCGATCGGGTTTTCATTAAAAGCGAATGAAATCCCAGTACAATTTTATATCACATTATTCATTTCTATTTATACATAAAAAATGAAATGCAGTCATCGCGATGACTGGATTTCAAGAAACCAACTCTAAACTTTTATACGATGCATCTGGCACTTTTGCCAATTATATAAAATTATTTACGATTGTTATTTATTATTATTGTATATATACGTGCATAATATGAGATGTACACAAATACTTGTATAGTAAACGCTACTTACATATACATATACAGGGTGTACTAAAACCACCGTATATCCTTTTAATCGCAGATTCCTTAGAAAATTTCAAGAGGAAAATTCTAATAAAAAAATGTCGAGGCTATGAGAGTTTTTAAATAATAAGCGATTATATTTCACAAATGACAGGTCTGAGATTTCGCGCGCTCAGGCACGGCGACATGACGAGTGCTAAAAGTGTTCCTATGTATTTCGCGAGCGAACGAGTACCAAAGTCACCGTTTAACGGGACAGAAAATATTTGGGAAGACGATGATCCGGTTATTTTGAAAACTTGAGGATAAAGAGAGGCGGGAGACTAGATTGAATCTAACTGAAAATTCCAAGTTCACTCAGAATATCGGAGATCGACTAAATCGAAGGATATCAGTCTGATCAAGATGCTCATCATAGTGAACCCCTGCCTTTTATTAATAAGACGTTACACAAAGTTAACAAAAGAAATGGTTAAAGATAACAAGAGGAACAATTAATTCGAGAATGAATCGTTAAGTCTGTTGTGAAAGTTGTCACTATGCTAAAAAGGGCGATATTCGTAGGAACACCTTTATCTCTCGTCGTGTCGCCGTACCTGAGCGCGCGAAATCTCAGGCCTGTCATTTGTGAAATGTAATCGCTTACTATTTAAAAACTATTATAGCCTCGACATTTTTGTATTAGAATTTTTGTCTTGAAAGTTTCTAAAGAATTTATGATTAAAAGGATATCCGGTGGTTTTAGTACACCCTGTATACGAGTATGATAGATATTTACTATATGATTATTGATATACATTCAAGTCGTGTACATATATATCAATTTTGTGCTCTTGCATGGGTGCGTATATTGCACTTGCACCTGCTTTTAATAACAAGAACACACGTTGCTCGCGGGCCATCTAGTAACTGCTGGTGGTGCCACACGTGACATCACACAACGTACGTGCGCGAATGTGTACACTATTGTGTACGTTATTATCTAACTAAACATATAAACTTTCCCAATGCATTCGATTATCCGAGCACATTTACCACGGCTGTTTTGCTTAAACTAAGGCTGCGTTCCGATATTTACTCTCGGTTCGGAAAATGTACAGTGTACGCGACTATAGATTTTCAGCACTGGCAGTGAACATCGGAACGCAGCCTATACACATGTGCGGAAGAAGCATTAAAAGATAGTAATTATGAAACGAGCAGGATTAAGGTATGCGAAAGCAAGTACAGCTAATTCGCAGGAGGATAGAGACTTTTGTAAAATATTTTTAAAGAATTCTGTTAATTCCCCGCATGTCAGTTTGTTAGCAATTTGACAGTTCTTGCGCGTAAGAAACATTTGATTAATAGTAGATATAACATTTGTCAAGCTTAAACCTCTTTCCGATAAAAATAATTAAAAAACAGACAATTTTTAACTCTTGGTACTCTGGGATTTGTGTTTTATAGTCAATTAATTACAATTTTATATTTTGTATCGTTTTCTAATAGCAACATTTCGATGTTAAATATCTTATAAATGCATTTAATTCACAGGACAGAAAGATAGAGGGACTTTTGTAAAATCTTTTTAGAGGATTCTATTAATTCTCCACATGTCAACCTATTGGCACATTTGACAGTCCTCGCGCGTAAGAAACATTTGATTAATAGTGGATATAACATTTATCAAGCGTAAATCTTTTTCCGATAGAAAAAATTAAAAACAGACAATTTTTAACCCTTGGTACTCTTGGATTTCAATTTTACCAGTCAATTAATTACAGTTTTATATTTTGTATCGTTTTCTAATAGCAACATTTCGATTGTTAAATATCTTATAAACGTATCTAATTCACAGGACAGGAAGATAGAGAAACTTTCGTGAAATATTTTTTAGAGAACTCTATTAATTCTTCATCTGTCAATCTGTCAGCACATCCGACAGTCCTCGCAGTAACGGACATTTGACGGACAGTGGACAGACCGCGAAAGGAGGTCACTTTTCTCAGTGTCCGAGATGAGGGTCTCGGCGCGGGGGCGCATCGCAGTGGCTTTCACATTTTCTCCGTTGGCCCATATATACATGCGTACGCTAATGATGCATTGACACGCGATGAAAGCCGCGAGCGTTGTACGCCCGTGATTTCAGGCGTTTACCGATCGATTATCCCGCATCTAGAAATCTAGCTGGAAAAAGAAAAGGGACTCCGCGCGCTGTCCCGCGCGATGGAAGGGAACGAGAAAACGCGATGTTCTTTCCGCTATGCACGGTTGGTTTTTTTCATAAAATCAATTGGAGTAATTATGCCGCGCGTTTCACGGTAGAGAAATTTATAACTGTACAGCTCGCGCAGCCTCTTTTGCTGGCCGAGAAACACGTATGGATTATACGCACGCAAGTATGTATACGCGGCGTTCATCCATCGCGAGGGCAAATTCCTGCACGTCTATCCCGCGGAGTCAGTCCTTGTAGCCTACAAATTAACGGCATTCGACGAGCTGTCGGAAGAGCGGAGAGCACGAACTGACGTGTAGACATTGGGTTGTAAATTATCATAATGCGGAGGTCGCGCGGAACCCCCTTTTAAGAAATAAACGCGTGTGCGGGGACGATAAAATAGGGGCCGTTGATCCAAAGCGGTCTCTTCGCGCGCGAGAATCGCGAGCGTATCTCCTTTCATGGATCTCTTTCGGGAACGCGCGGTACCGATCTTTTTTCCGCCGCGCCAAACTAAGAGCACCCACGATTCCGAGTCGATAGCAGATCGAATCTAAAGATATCTGTTCCCGGAGATCGAATTGTTTATTGCAGTTTTAACGAGGAGCAATTGTAACGTTACAATTACTTTGAGATGTGTTAAAGATTACGCTGTAATAATACTAATATAATTAACTAAGTGCGCAGCGGTAAAAATAGAATGTGACCGATCAGTTTCTGCTGCTCCAAGTTAAGAGCACCCACGATTCCGAGTCGATAGCAGATCATATCTGAGGAAACTTGTTCTCAGAGATGAAATTATTTATTGCAGTTTTAACCAGGGGCAATTATAACGTTATATTCACTCGCGATGTGTTAAAGACGATGCTATAATAACAAATGTAATAGGATACGAGAGGTTTTTCTCACGAAACATCTAATGTGGTCCTGCAACCTGTCGAGATCGTCGCAATTGATCCCAGACACATTCCGATTCTTATACTCAACGGAGAGATGCTTCTCTTAAGAATTATTCTGAAAAGTACGTAATCGTGGGACAACACTTGGGACGGCACTTCGAAGAATTTTGTGACGGTTTTTTTAAAACTTTACCATACGTTTTACTAATAATTGTACTTATTGTCGGTATACATTTTACTAGTAAAATTTATGACAAGATTTCAAACGTCTCTCATAAAGTTATTCAAAATGCCACGTTGTCCCACCAACACATGATTTTCAGGATAAATTTGAAACAATAATTCTCTCCGACATCAGTGATTTTTATTGACCGTATCCGGCAATTTTTATAATACGGAAAATTTATTGCGAAAAGTATTATATTACCTCAGCCAGGGTTTGAACCATGCTGGAGTGATTCTGCACTTTCGCACCTTTTGCACTTAAAACTGTCGGTTTCGTGGAAAGATTTGTGTAATACACAAACTAAATGGCACGTGTACAGATGATCGAAAGCAGCTTGCTATTCCGACTAAATTAAAGAACAATATGACATCACTGAAACTAAGTTTGTAAGCCTAATAAAAAATAATAGTGAGCAACACACATACTACATGTACTGTATGTATGTGTTGCTCACTATAATGTCTTATTAGACTTACAAACTTAGTTTCAATGATGCCATATTGTTCTTTCACTTGGCCGGAATAGCGAGCTGCTTTCGATCTGTAAACGTGAGCCGTTTAATTTGTATATTACACAAGTGTTTCTGCGAACTGACAGTTTTTAGGTTAGAAAGGTGCAAAAGTGCAGAATCACTCCAGAATCCCCATAATTGCCAGATACGGTCAATAAAAATCACTGATGTTGTTAAATACTGCTGGCGACTTTTTACGAATATTCTCACCAGTTGAACAATTCTCTCCGCGTACTAATTCGACTATTGCGTAAAGTCGCCGCGACTAGGAAATTTTCGGTACACGGTGTACTCGCGCGGCGCTTTAATGAGTGAATCTTAATGAAGTGCGGACAAGGATTTCGCATTGGGGGCGCAGGTACTTCCTGGTATTCGTTGCGGCCGTGTAACAGGCCTATTACTTAATCCACGGCGGCTATAAACCAGCGTCATTTTCGAAGTCAAGTCACGCCGGGCGCATTTGTCTAATTCCCACTCTTTCTCCTCTTGCAGCGAGCAGCGGTAGCGAGACGAACGGCCTCGGCGAGGAGACCGCGGCGAGCGGAGATTACATCTCGCCGTCGGAGCCGAGCGGGCCTTATCTGGCGGGACCGATGGTGATACGGGTCTATCCGGACGGCCGACCGGTTCCGGAGGACCAGAAGCGCCCGTTGCCGAAGGACGAGGACGCGGAAGAGCTGAAATATTCCCGTTTGCCGTCCATCGAGGAGATCGAGGCTAAAAGCGGCAGCACGTTCTACGGGAAAGGCGTCAACGAGCCGTCGCCGTTCACCAAGAGGAGGATGTCCTTCGCGCTCGACGACAAGAGCTACCGGCGGCCGGAAACGATGCGCCTTCGCGGCCATCCGCTGCCCTACAAAAGGGCGGTGCTTCGAGGCGCCTTGAACGAGCGCAGAATACGTTACTACTGAGGAGAGCCCTCGTTTTTCTTCTACCTGATACGAGATATCTTCCCTCGTGGTGGCTCGCCCGGCTACATTGCCTCGCGACAATGAGATTTTTCGAAAAGTTAATCGCCAAGATCCTACGGAGAGATACAGACGACCGCGGTCGTGTCTGACCGCTGTCTCAGACGTGGAAAACACGCGGGAAAAGTTGGAAGATACGAGCGGTACCAGTTGCGGTCGCGTCGTGGACGACGATGTAACAATAACCAGCCGTAATTACTAATTCATCGCGCATTCTAACTTATCTGATATCGTCGCTGCGGTAAGTGCGAGAGGGGGGAGTCGTGCGGTATTTTTCGGAATCTCCGCGCTGTCGAGTGTCGGAGCGAAAGACGGGGAGGAACTTTGTCTCGAGGCGAGAGTTCGCGATTTGCGTAAACGCGCGTCGTTCGGGAGAATTCGCGGGCTGCGAATTCTCGGGAGCTTGAAAATTGCAAACTTGACGATTGGTCGGTAATTTGGTAGAGTCCTGGGACGCGAGCGCCGAGAATGCATTGTACATACGCTGTTTCAGTAACACGCACAATCCGACCATGAGAGTATCATTTGAGTTCCATTTATTTAATTTCATTCATTTACTATAGTATTTATTTAATACTCAGTGTGATTGTCGTGACTCGTGACACAAAAAGAAAAACCTGGGCAGAAAACATCGGTGAAATTACGTTGATTATCCTGGAATACGAGCAACTAAAGTCTTGGAAACTGTTGACGCGAAAGATTACAAGCGTATTGTTTAAATCTATCTTGCTACTCTTTAACAAAGCAGCGATTTACTGCACAGTTCGCCTATGTGTATTTCGTTTCCATTAATAAATTTAACGCGCATCACTTTCCTCTGATTCGTATGCGTCGGCACGTCGCATAAAGGAACCAGTGTACCTCGCTGAAAAGTACCATGTTTCGCACGTGAAATATGCTGTCGAATAATTATTGAACGTTACGTAAATTATTCGCGATCGTTTTAACGCGTATATAACAAGCAGTTTGCAAAAAGTTGTCGCTTTCAAACATTTCTACAGCTAAGCGTACAAATAGTTTGTATATTGCGGTAATTATAATATTTAACAAATCCTGCTGAATATTCACGCAAATCGTTGCTCGCATAAACGAGTAACAGCGTGCGCAAAAGAATTTGCATTACGCATTTACGTGACTATTACGATTGATTATTATATGCTATACGTACTGATTTTCGTTTTGTATATACTTGAAATATTTGCCACTATTAACTTTAAGTACATGTCGATAAGGTAGAATCTAAAAGTGTGATAAAAGATGAAACGCATAATATATATTCGAAAGGAGGAATTAACGAGAGATTAAGACAATGTGATAAAATTAACACACACACACACACACACACACGCACACGCACACGCACACGCGCACGCGCACGCGCACGCGCACGCGCACGCGCACGCGCACGCGCA